GGAGCAAGGCTCAGCCCGAGACGTTCCGACACGCCGCAGTCTTCCGTAGAGGAACCCCGTGCCTCAGTTTCCCTGTCTAAAGTGCAGTACATCACCTGTCTCCCTCTTCTTCATCAGCAGTGCCCAGAGGCCCTGGTGAGAGTCTTCAGCTGGCTAGTCGCTGACCAGATGGCAGAGACCCCTTCTTTGCTATTGCTTTTAGTAATTACAGGAGAGGAGAGATGGCTAGAGCAAGCTGGGATCAGGCCAGCAGAGGGGATGCTGATGCTTCTCCTTTCCCCAGGTCCTGTGTGGCCAGATGTGCATGTGCAGTCTGCCTGGCCCTTGTCGGATGCCATGCCCAGAGAGCTCTGCCAAGTGTGCAGTTCTGGCAGCTTGCGGGTCCCCCAGCTCTGCTGCCTACACGGACAGACATCAGCCCGCAGTCCCTCCAAGGTTCATTTGCACTGGGATATGCACAGCCCCTCTGGAAACAGTCGGCTGTCATGGCTTGCTGGCACGCAGGGCGCCGTGGAGTGAGCCTGTCGCAGACACCCGGGCAGGGCAGGCTGTGCTGGGCACAGTGGGGCTAATCCAGGCAGGTCCTGTGCAGACATGGCGCTGCTGCTCCTGTCTGCGTGGCCCCAGCTAGTATCTGCAGGAAGGAATTGAAAATCAGACACAACTGCATGGCTGGACCAAGCCTTGCCTTGCCCATGTCATTTGTCAACTGCTTTTTTCAAGCCTGGGAAGTTAAGCAAGGACCTTGCCTCAAAATCAAATCCCAGGGGGTCTATTGACCTGCAGCAGCTGGAGTTTGGTACCAGAGAACTGCAGAGCAGTAGCATCCTTGAATAACATTCAGAGTAAGATCTATTCATCTATTTTGTTTTCAAGTGTGTCTTTCACTCAATAATATGGAGCTTGCTGCAGAAACTCGCTGAAGCTGGTATTTGTCGTCTTCAATCTCCTGGCCAGGCCCATGCTTTTCTACTTGGCTGCTTTGAAGGACATAATGTGCTTTCAGATGCAGAATGACCCCAAAGGCAGGTCCCAGAAAGCAGCCTGCAGACCTCAGAGCACTATTAAAGCATGGGTGGTACCCCATCTCCTCCTGGGATCTGAGCACGCAGCAGCAGAGCCGGGCTGACCTCTGTGCTCAGCTGCCTGCTGATTTTCAGCTTCTTCAGGCACTGGTGCAGTAGCACAGACCTGTCCTCACCTGAACAACCTGGGCTGAGACTCAGCTGATCTACATTTGCGTGTGTGGTACGTAGGTATTGATATCTGATCTAGTCAGCCGGAAAGAGCTGCTTTTATAGGGCACAGTTCATCTGATCTATTCTTAGGCAGATGTCTGCTTTGCAATAAGGCACCCCCAAAGTGTCTCTTTCTCCCCAGTGACTACACGGGGAGCTTGCAGCGACTAGCTCAGACAAGGCAAGTGCGGGTGAAGCCCAGCAGGCGCCGAGCCTGTGTTCAGCCTTTCAGCTGGAACCTTGCAAAAGGCCTATTGTGGTTGGGGATCTCAGACAACTGATCAACCGGGGCATGTGCAATATGCAGTTGTGGCTGCTTGCTGTTAAAATGTTATTTCCATTATGCTGTTGCAATCTGGGTCTCATAAAAAAACCTAGCAGCTAGATTCTTTGCTCAGGAGAAGGAGGATTTTTCCCCTTGTCTGAGCCCCCTTTTCTGAGGGGATCGAAGCCCTATCTCCTTCTCCTAGTGAGCAGTCATGAAGTGGCAGCCTCCTGGGAAGACATTCTCCATCTCTGCAGCTGAAACTGTTCTCCTGTGTAGGTCTCTTGGAGACCATGAACAAGTACAGCATCAGCACTTTTACATACCTTGATATAAATGAAGTTATATGGCCAGAAGCTGAGACTTCTGATGTTTATTGCAAGAGCTATTTATAATACCAACATGAAAGCAGAGCATTTATGCGTTAGAAGTACATTCACTCTGCAGAAAAGCACCAAAAATCAGTAATATGATCACACATAAACTACTGGGGGAACTAGACCCAGTCAGGAAAAGTGACCTGTGTTCTTTCATAATCACTCTTGAAACTTTCAGAGTGATGTTAATCCAAAGGTCTCAAAGCACCTCAGAGATGTGTAATAGGTGGAGACACAGCAATCAAAAGCTGTGGCAGCACTCACACTGATTTTTGTAGACTTTGGATAAAATTAATGCCTAACGTGTAACAGGCAGCTGGATGTCAGGAACTGTTGGCCCCAGCCACTCTGCTTGAACCACCAGGCACCTTTCTTCCTCTTCTAGTCTCACTTTATCGGTGTCATCACTCTAAAATAAATGGCACCGAAGTCCATACCATGTAACTATATGCACAGAGACTAACAGAGCTGTTGAAGACTAGAGAGGCTGTTCCCATCACGTAGTCTGACCCTCTACAGCACACAGCAGCCGTTCTTGACTTCTGAAGTCTTCAAATGATGGAAAGGCCTCACAGTCTTAGCTAATTGTTCCAATAATTAAATGCTTTTATTGTCTAGAGCCTGCACTTAATCCTTGCTCTCAGTCCATCTAGTGGTAGTTTTCAACACTGAATCTGTGTTCTCAGACACTTCTGAATGAAAAAAGCACAAAAGCTGATTTAGCAATTAGATGGTTTCCAACATTTAAAGCTGTACTGCACAGCATAAATATTATAATCTGTATTTTATGAAGCAATATATGTTTCTTTTACATTTATCCAAAGTATCTTTTCATATATTGTTCCATACAATATGCAATAAGTGTACATCTATGTCAGTCAGTTCTGTCTTCTCTGCTTTTGCTCTACCAAAGACAGGTCAAAGAAATGAATGGCTGTGCTTTGGCGCAGTGAGACCCGAATTCATTCTTGATTCCTTCGCAGGAAGGAAAGTCAATAGGCATAGGGGCAGTTGATAGGAAAATTGTGCTGCTTTTGCATAAAGCTGATGCTCCAATGAAGCCTTGTTATTCCTTGATTTTGTAGATCCCGAGCAAGGAAAGTGGTTTTGTGCATGGCCAAAATAAGGTCTTACAGTGAAGATCAGGTTGAAGAATTAGTTGGAGCTGGAGGCCAGCATTGCATGTATTGAAGCAACAGTGTGAGTAAGGAAGGATGTAGTTGTGCTTTATGGTCAGCACACTTGTTTCCCCATGCAGCAAGTTGCATGGGACTCACAAGATGCCTTATCTTGCCTGAACCTGCCCACAAAAGGCCGAGTACACCAGCTAAACTCACCTCAACTGGACAGAGGCATCCTGGGCGGTGTTAGCTCTTAAATCTGGTAGCTCTTAGATCCATGGTGCCTCTTTGTAGAGCTGTCAGTTGTTCAGAGGTTAGAGTATATGAGCACCACTATGAGGGTAGTCGCTTTTCAGCCAGTTGTTGGCCAGCTGGGAGAGACTACAGCACCAGCAGTGTTGGCCATGACAATGTGTTTGCATACGTGGATGTTCAGAGCATGCTGTGATACCGTGTTACACTGCTGTTGGGTTTTTTTTCCTGAGAAGGAAGGAAAGAAGTTTGTGCAGTTCAGCAGCAGGAACAGTAGTAAAGAAAAATGAGTTTTCACCCATCTGTTTCCAGGTTTCCTGGCTGAAACTACAGCTTGTCTCTGCCTCCCCTTAAAAAAAGGTAATTATCTCTTAATCACAAAAGTAGAATGAGAGAAATTGAGGAAGCAGAGCGGCTGCCCTAGAGAAATGCCCAGGAAAATAAATACAAAAGCCTGTGTGTCTTCCTGTCATGAAAACGATGCAGCTAACTTCAGGTAACAAAGACTTAATGTTTGTAGGTGCCAGGCGTGCCTGTGGGTAGCTTGATGTCAGAGTGATAGAAAGATCAGAGTTCCAGCAGTACTACCGGTTACCACAGAATTTCTCTATGTCACTGGAAAACCACCTGCATAGAAATAGAATATATCGTATTTACAGCAAACATGCAAACAATGGTGGGTTGGAGCTCTGAATGTGTGGCTAGCTATGTTGGTGCTGGAGAGTCAAACAACACTATAACAACCGCCGCAGACACAGT